CACGCCACTTTACCAGATACTGGTATTGGCCCTGACGACGACGTCGTTTCAGTAGTCTCTCGACATGAAATTGACGACACCCATGCTCATCGAGCAAAGTCGGTGGCGGCCGGTGTACCGGTGGAGGCCCACGAGAAATTGGTTCTCGAAGTGAAGGGTCTTCAAGAGGCCTTGGGTAAGTCCCAGTGCATGCTGGATGCGATGCAAAGCCGCCTTCAGGCGATGGAGCAAGCTCAAACTCGGAGCGAGGCTCAGTTGGACTTGCTGATTCGTCTACAGCAATCCGGGGCAGTGCCCTTGTCGTCGGCGCAAGCGCCTCCAAGTTCACATGGGAAGGATCCCGGTACGGCTTAAGTAAGCCTACGTAGAACACTGGATGTGTGCGCAATTTGCGCGGAAGGTTTAGCGTATACGCAAGTCCCTTCTTGGCAGTGACCGTAAACGGTCCAATAAAGCGTGGACGCAACTTTGTCTTAAAGACAGCAGACACTACATTTGTAGGTAGATTTTTAGCATTGAGTAGTACTTGGTCTCCGACCTCATAACGTTCAATACATTTTCTGCCTTTGGCATCAGCTTGTTGTTTTTGGTTTTCTTGGCTATAAGCCATTGCGTCACGCACATGTCTTAAGACATTTAATCGCGTTGCGAGAAACTCGCCTACCTTATTTTGAACAGTAGCAGGGCGGATATCAGCAAGCCGATCGGCAACCTCTCCCTCACACCAAGCCCTGATTCACGTAGTGATAGCGTTAACGGAACACGAGGGTGAGTGATACCGTTTATATAGAACGGAGTAAAGCCTGTTGAGGCATGAACAGCGTTATTCAACGCAAACTCAACAACAGGGAGCATTGAGCTCCAACGCCTAGGCGTATCAGCGCAAACACTGCGCAAAATGTCGTTGATGACGCGGTTAACACGCTCAGTTTGACCGTCGGTCTGCGGATGATCCGCTGTGGACATGTCCAACCGAGTGCCAAGCACCTTGAAGATAGACTTCCAAAACTTCCCAGTGAAGCGGGGGTCTCTATCAGAGATAATTGCCACCGGCAAGCCATGTTGGCGAAACACACGGTCGATAAACAGCTTTGCTGTACCTTCAGCATCGATGCTATCCGGCACAGCCGCTAAGTGAGCCATCTTGCTTAATCGGTCAACAAAGACCACAATACCAGTGTTGCCTTCCGAATCTTTCGGTAGGCCAAACACAAAATCCATGCTCATGGACTCCCAACAACCAGTGGGTACTGGCAAACTAGCCAGCGGCGCCGCCGCATGTGCCGAGGGTTTAACCCGTTGACACGTTTCGCACGTACGCACATAGGTGCTCACCCACTTATACTGTTTGGTTCACCAATAACTTTGGCTCACCGAGCTATAATTCTTCTCACAACCGAGATGACCACTTAAAGCAGTATCATGTGCCTCATAGAGTATCCGATACTTTAATTTCTCATTATGAGGTACAGCGATACGAGAGTTATCCTCGATATCCGTGCGATAGCACAACAGGCCATGATCGAAAGAATTTTATGTAGCCTCGCACGTAAACGTGCCGACAATTCTATGTCCGAGTCTTTAAACTCATCGCTCCCAAGAGCACGTAGCAAAGCTACACACTGATCATCCTTGGCATATGCCGCACGAATTAAGTCAGGGACTGACGACGACAGAGTCGTAACATGAGCAAGCTCATAGTCAGGTCGACGCGATAGCGCATCAGCCAAAGCATTTTGCTTACCTGGCTTGTACTTCACCTCGAAGTTATATTCGGCAAAGAAGGAAAGCCAACGAGCCATTCTCTGTGAGAGATGAGGCGACTGTGTCGCAGTCCGTAATGACGCATGATCTGTATAGATCACAAACGGCTTTGAGCCAAGCAGATGTACTCTGAATTTGACAAGAGCATACTTCATAGCAAGTAGCTCTTTGTCATGAACTGGATAGTTCTTTTCGGCAGCTTTAAGCTGTCGAGACTCGAATGCGATGACGCGTTCGCGTCCATCGACATCTCTTTGTAACAGAGCACTGCCTGTGGCGAAGTCAGATGCGTCACAGACGACACTGAAAGGTCGATCAGGATCGGGCAAACCAATATTGGCGTATGAAGGAGACTCTCCTTAACTTCTTCAAAAGCATCATGTTCGGTGTTACTACAACACCAATCCACATCCTTTTTAACGAGATTGTACAATGGCCGAGCCACATGTGCGTAATTCGCACTGTAATTTTGTAAATAATTGGCAAGGCCAATCCACTTACGCAAGTTCTTTTGGTTCTTGGGAACCGGCCAATCGACTATGGCTTTTACCTTAGCGGGATCCGCTCGAAGGCCTTGCTTCCCAATGAAGCACCCTAGAAAGGGAATCTATTCTGCACCAAAGATGCACTTAGATGCGTTAGCATACAACTTATTCGTCCGCATGCACTCGAGCACCGCTCGTAAATGATCAATGTGGTTATCCACATCTGATCGCCCATTCATTGCACGACTATGGACAAAAATGTCATCAAAGTACGTTTGTGCATAGCCTCGATGAGGTCTGAATAGTTGCGTTACCAGCCGGTTAAACGTAGCCGGGGCGTTAGATAGCCCTTGTGGCATAACAAGCCACTCCCAGAGCATACCGCTCGGAGTACTCACCGCTGTTAGCGGAATATCACTTGCTCGCATGAGCAGTTGGTAATAACCATCGACTAAGTCGAGTGCACTGTACAATGTACATCCTGCCATATTGTTCTGAAGCACATCCTTTCTAGGAATAGGCGTCTGCGCCGGTATAGTGGCTGCATTAAGCTTATTATAAGCATGCACAATACGCCACTTGCCATTTGGCTTTTTGACACAAAATGTCGGTGTTGAATGGGGAGACTTGCTCTCACGAACCATTCCAGCCGCGTGCTTAGCACGAAAGAATTCGTCAATGACGTCACACTGTTCTTTAGGCAAAGGCCACTGCCGTGTTACACAGTATTTAGTTCCAGGAACTAAGTCAATCTCATGACGTACACCTCTATCGGGAGGTAAGGCAGAAGGTGGGTTGTGACACACCACATCTTGAAATTCCTTAACTAAAGGATAGAACGGATCCAAAGGATCTTTAAGGATCGAAGATCCACTTCGTGCACTAAGTGCCGCCTTTGTATCCTCTAGGACAGACTCATCCATTAACGAGGAAGAATTCAACTCAGTATCAGGTCTAATGACCGCTAACTCGGATAACTCTCCTGCCTTCAAGGCCTGGCTAAACTCGCCATCAGACATTTCGTCTAGCTCACAAAGAGCGTCCACAGATGGAAGGGTTTCAAGGCAAACACTGCCATCAACCTGACCAGTCACTCCATTAACAAGTGTATATAGTGTATTACTATTATCACTATGTGACTGTGAGGACGCCTGGCGCTTAAAAGTAGCTACCCGGCGTCTCGATCGTCTCTTCGAGACCTTACACCCCTTAGGGGTCGGGACAATATTGTCCCCATGGTTACTACCAACCATAGTACGCTCTATACGAGAGCTTTTGTCTTGACCGACATCCGGTGAAGTGTTACATAACTCGAACACTTCACCCAGTGGATTGAAACGTGCCACTCCACGTGTATTATGCGGGCCTAGCCCCAAATTTAACGGCGTCTCGCCAATAAGGTCATTACCGACATTAGGTGTGGTGCCCTCACGGCCGTCCACACTATACGGCGTATCGCCAACAGTATCATTACTGACATTAGGTGTGGTGCCCTCACGGCCGCCCACACTATACGGCGTATCGCCAACAACGCCATTACCGACGTTAAGCGTGGTGCCTTCACGGCCGCCCACACTAAATGGCGTATCGCCAACAACGACATTACCGACGTTAAGTGTGGTGCCTTCACGGCCGCCCACACTAAATGGCATATGGCCAACAATGTCATTACCGACATTCAGTGCGGTGCTCTCACGGCCGACCGCACTCGGTGTAGTTTCACGTGCCACCGCACACACATCAAAGGAATCACATCCTTGATCACTCGGCCCTAGGCCAACCATGCTTTCAGCATGCAGTGACTCGTTATCACAACGAGTAACACTCAACGGAGTACGTGCCGTTTCACTAGTTTTAGACGAGCTAGGCTCGAAACTTATGTTTGTAACATTGGAGTTAGATAACTCAGACATTCCAATATCCAGCACATTGACATCTTCTGTCAAAGGCTCGCGCCAATAGCGCTTCTGTTGCCTAGCGAAGGTGGGTTCATGACTCTCCAAAGCTTCGCTAGGAACATTGCGCGTGGCGCCTAAGGTCTCAGACCTCCAATCAATCCATGGCTCATGGCGCTCAAGCCAAGCCATACCTAGGATGATATCATATCTCGAGTCCAAATCTAGGACAAGACAGCGCTCAAAACTGTCAAAGTCTAAAAACTTTATACCTAAGTTCAATGGAACTTTAGGCACAGTTACGCGACTTCCAGCCGCTAAACGAACCGTGATAGAATCACCCTCATGCGCTGTAAGCGCCTCAGCATAACGCTGACTTCCCTCAAGGGAACGGCGTCGAGCATAATTGCAAGACGCTCCAGAATCGATCAATATCGACCAAGGCTTCTCAAAGCCCTTAATTTTCGCCTCGGCGACCAACAAGCCAGACTTGTATCCACGCACCATACCCGTAGGTATGGTACTCTTTGGGGCTAAGCCCTGCATTCCTTTACCTTCTAAAGGTGTAACAGAACCTAGTTCTTCCCCAGTAGGGCGCCCCGCGCCTACTGGGTGTCGGCATTTCCCCGTGCCATACCAGACTTCTGACTCGGGGTCGAGTGTTGGCTCGTAGCCTGGCGTTGCTTACGCAAAGGGCAACCAGGCCGCAAGTGTTTAGTGCTTCCGCACGTAAAACATCGTCGTACGACGTGTTGCTGCTCAGCAGCTTGAAGCTCAGCTTCACCTCCATCTTCAGCATAGCTGAGATCCATCGGTTCCGGCCTATTATAGGCAGTGGTACCCGAATAGTTTGCTCTCACAGAGCGAGGATTGTATCCATTCCAACCAAGTCTGGCCGACTTGAAGTTATGCTCAGCATAAGAGCAATTCTCACAGCCTCTTCAAACGTAGAGGGGTGAACCCGAAAAACCTCGGTTCTGGCAATGCCAGTACGTAGACCTTCCATGAATATAGTCACATGGACTGCTTCAGGCAGAGGGTCAGACTGCATTGCAGCCATGAGCGTTCGCAGCTCTTGGACATAGTCCGATAATTCATTCTTACCCTGGCGGGTAGAAAGAAAGCGTGAACGCACGCGGTAAGCCTGGTTAGGTGGAGAAAACACCTGTACCAATTGTGACTTGAGCGACTCCCATGTGGGAAACGCTATGTCCACCGACGTGCTACACGTCAAGGCCCATTCTCTAGCTCTACCATCGAGCTTCGAGATAGCCAGCGAGACCTGTTGATGGTCAAGCGTGATCAGGCCTGATCTCATGGCCATCTCAATCTCACGGATCCAGAGGATGAGGTTCTCACCCTCCTTACCGGAGTAGTTTTTCACTTCCACTCTAAGTGGACGAGGCTTAGCCTCTTCGTCTGGTACAGACACGTAGCGTGTAGGCATAGCCGACGCTATTTGGTCTTGGACCTGCCCTAAAAGGGTCGCTTCATACTGCATGAAGCTTTCAACACGTGCATTAAGCACTTCAGGACCTTGTGAAACAAGGAACTCCACGTACTCTGGACCCAAAGATGCGGTCAGCTTATCAAGCGCGACCTTTTGGGCCTCAGATAGGGGAGTGGAGTTTTCCATCCTCACAGAGGATCAGTCTTAAAGACTCAGGCGTAGATTGACTACGAGTGCTACCAAGTGTAGCGGAGCTACACAGCTCCTTAAGTCAGAGGAAGACTTAACGCTCTACGAGCAACTTAGTTCCAAAGAACTAACGACTTTACGAGTCAACAAGCTTTACAGCTTCAGATCCCTGTTCCAGGGGACCTAACGATTCAGTGAATCGACAGCACTCAGTGCTCAAGAGTAGCTACCTCAAGGAGGTGTTGCTAACTCTTAGTGATCAGTGATCAACGATCAAGACGGCTCGCAAGCCACGTGTCCTTTAGATCAAAATGGGAACTGATTTTATTTTTTTGTTAAAGCCTATAGAATATCTTAATCCTACTCAAAGATCTTTCGTACCTAATGGCTGACACTCGTCAGCCCCTACAAACCAATAAGATATTCTATATCACCTTCACAAAGGGGGTACCCTCAGGTGTGTAACATCTCTGGTACAAAGTACCATAATTTCGTGCAACCCCGTTACACGGTGTCAATAGGGAAGTTGACTTCCCCACATGGGCCTGGGGCAGCCAAACGATCGGCAAAGAACTTGTCGATCGCAAGTACTTGTTCACGAGGCAGTGGCCACTGCTTCATGACACAGTACTTGAGCCTGGTTTAAGCTCGACCTCGTGTTGAGTGCCTTTATCCTTGAGTAACTCTTTGCACGGAACAGTATCATCTTAAGGAATACATCCTTGAATTCAACCAAATCTCTCATAGAGAGGATTTGTCTTGGGCGATTCCCACGATTGGGAGTCATATCGCTCAATTGTGTCTTTTCATCGAGGACACTCTAGTCCATCGATGAACTAAGGAGAACTCTCTCGTTCTCAGTAAACATTGCTGCTGACCCATGTCGGCTACACACTCGTCGTCAGCGACGAATACGCAGATCTGCTTGACTTTGCCACTGCGCAGATCACGCAAGAACCTTTAGCGTTCGAGCGTTGGCAATTGAGTGATCTCCGAAGTTAACTTCTGAGGAATGAAGTGAACCAGATCAAGTGTATAAGCGCCTACACTTGATCCGTCATTGACTAGGACATTTAATGTCTCTGTCATTTCCTGGGGAATTATTCCCTCAGGCCTCGAAGGACTTATTCCTTCGGCTTCCCGGGGACTTGTTCCCTCGGGTTTCGGGGAACTTATTTCCACCGTTTCTGTAATCTTGGGACTTATTCCCTTAACTTCCTCTAGCTGGGGTTGCGCAACCACAGCGAGATCCTCTACGAAAGACTCTCCAGTCGATCTAGGATTATCGTTTCGCTTAACCTGAGCGATCGATTGTTTCTCTTCTAGATGTTACCTGCTAACGATACATCTTTGTCCCAGTCCACCCGACTTATTCGAGTGGTGGACCTTCGGCGCAGCCTGTGCTTCCTCACAGCCGCCGGAACTTTGCTCCGAAGTGTAATTGTTTGGTACACTAAGGTTTTATGCAGTCGTACTAACGACCGTACCACAAGTGAGGCCATCGCACTCACTCGTAGTACATCCACACGCTTGTGGACGCTCCAAAACGTTCATCAGATGGCCATCTGATGAACAAGCGGCAGGCATCGTTACTGTTAGATGTTGCCAGTTTACCCGTGGTTCGTACCTTCTGAGCCACGGTATTCCAAGGATGACATCAAATTTGTCATCCAAATCCAATATGATAAAGTCATCGTCATATTGAGTATCTTCTAGCGTATAGTGGATCTTCACTATACGCTCCATGACGGTTACGGATGCGCCTGTCGCAAGACGTACCGTCATCCTCGTAGGAGGTGTGTCACATTCACTGAATTTAAAGTGACCATCTTCTAGCGATTGGCGTCGCACAAAATTGTTGGACGCCCCACAATCGACTAGAGCTCGAAGGGACAACTTACTTGTCTCTTCGAGTTTCAAGGTAATGAGTGAGATCTCATTACCCAGAGCAGCAACGCACAACGTTTGTGTGTTGGGAGCAACCTTCATCAAGAAGCCTACAAATTCTCTTGACGTTGCTGTACCAGTAGGGTGCTCCGCACTTACTGATCCTGTCCGTTTTTTGACAATCCATCCCGTTGTTGCGTCTTTGCACCAACTGCGGACCCTCGTCCCTGCCCCTTTCTCATGGGTGGGCGGTCACTACGCCCAGTGTCGCGAGACACTGGACGAGGGACACTACACTCGTAAGCGTAGTGTCCTGTCTTTTGACATCTGTTGCATCTCTGCAACTTCTTGTAGCCTGTAGAGCGAGCCTTCTCGCTCTCTACATAGCAGAGTTCTATCGGCTCTGGACTTCCGCTGTCATATCGTCTCGGTGGACGATATGATGTCGAGCTGGCACGAGCCTGTCTCAGACTGAAGTCTTCCTGTTCCGCAATAGAAATTGCTTGTTCTAGCGAATCTAGTTCAAGTCGGAACTTGTGGGTCTTGACGGGACCATCCGCAAGACCCTGCATGAACACCGAAACCAACGTGTGTTCATCCACCGGATTGGAACTTATACAACTCGTAAGATGTCGTATATGTTGTGCGTAAGCGTGCACATCACGCTTACCTTGTTTGAGTTTTAAGAGTTTAGTTCGAGCTCTGAACTCAGCTCTAGGCGGTTCAAACGTTTGTCTGAGCCGCGACTTGAAGACTTCTAACGACCCAAACGCATATGGGTCGTAAAACTTGAGCACCAGAGCCCAAGCCTTGGCACATCCTGCTAGATTTAATTGGGCAAATGCAACTTGCGTATCCCCGTCATCGATGCGACGCGCCCTTATGGCGTCGTATAATTCGACGAACCATCTCAAGAGGGAGTCCTCTTCGACCCCCTATACTTAGAGATGTCAATCTTCAAGGTCTTGGGTCGACGCGAGTGCATCGACCCACCAGCAGCAGCCTACTGCTGTCTCAACAGTTCAAACTGTTGATCATCCTGTTCTCCCAAGAACTCTGATTGTTGAGAACCTTGTTGGTGAAGCAAGGCTACTTTCTCGCGTTCAGCGTCAAGTTCATTTTGAATGAACTTGGCGATAGTAGCATGTTGGGCATCTCTATTGAGAGCCTCTAGCATGACGCTAACAGCATGGATGCCCATGGTTGAACCCATCCGTTCAACCGCATCCCTTTCTACATCGCTCAAATGGGAGTAGCCGTCACGCATAGCGTGAAAGCTTTAGTCATCATCATCATCATCTAACATATTCATGTTAGATGTGAACGTGGTCCTTGGACGGACTACAAAGTGCTACCAGGTGTAACGGGGCACCCTGAAGCTTGTACTGATGACAGTACATGCTACTTATTCTGATGACAGAATAAGGCGGTGCCGCGTAGCTTCACGTACACTGGTACGTGCAGAGGAAGACGGTAAGGAGAAGCGAGTACTTGGTTAAAGTAAAAAGTAGAACTGTATTTATCATAGTTAATGTCTGCAATAAACCACTGTTTATCCTCATCTAACTATGTCTGAATGCAAATGTGTATATCAACTATCTGCTCACCACTCATTGCGTGCGTCCGTCGTGGCGCGTCTTCGTTGGTTGATATAATGCGCTACATCAACCAATTAGGCACTACTCGTAAGTGCTACAGAATATTTGTCCTTATGACAATATTCTGAGAATATAACTCTTACAGTTAAATTCTATTAACACTTTCTTATAAATTGTTATGTAACAATTCACCCCGTTACACTTTGGCCTCAAGCAGATCGTAAGAAATGATATTCCTCTTCGGATTTTCGGCATAGTGAACGTCGAGAAGTCGCACTTGGACAGCCTTTCCCATCAGCGTTACGCTGATAAAATCAATACTGCGCTTGTGATACACAGTGCTCCTCCATCAGCTGTGATTTATTCGCTCACACAGTCCTCGTTTAGCAAGTCAATATCGTTGCCGAGGTGACGACTTGGAACTCTCTCTAGCACCTAGTAACCTTCTTCACTGGTTGTCCCTTGGACGGCAAGTACAAAATCAGCGTCTTTGTATTTAAACAAGTCCCACTTTTGTATCATGACACAACGCCATTAAATGTGCCGTCTTCTCGCACTTGAAAACATCTGTTTTTATTCTGTACGTTACCACAACGTCTCATCCCGTTATACCAGTCTGTACATCACTGACGACGTCTCGTCCCACTCTTCTACGCAGTTCAGTCTCCGTTTACTGCGCGAAGTGTGCAAACTCCTCTTTCTGCCGTACTTAATCCGTGCGCATCTTACCAGCATGGATACTCTCATAGTTGGTTCGGAATAGAGCGCGAAATTGTCCTGCACAACGTTGTCGGCGCCGCCGCAAGCCTAACTCACTGCAACCAAGTAATATAACGCTCCGACCATTCTCTGCTTACACTTTTGGGTGCCGTGAAAAGTTCCATACTTTGCGCAGGCGTAATCTTGGTCACAAAGGTGTGTAGGAGTCTCTACATTGCACGTTTTAGTGTGAGTTCCTACTCCGACCGTAGTTCAATCGACTGTTGTAGTAGCTCTCAGCTACTCCGGTCGTATGGTAACTGAGGATATAAACCTTTATTTCTTCGCTCCATGGATAACCACAAGCCCTTTCTACAAATTTTATCTGCCAAAAAATCGCTTTCCTAAGGATAAGAACCCGCCCCCCAATTCTTGATTCTATTCTTTACCGTCAAAATGACATATGCCTAGCTTTCGTTGGCAAGTGTCAGGGACACGATCAAATTGAGTCCCGGGTGCAAATTGCTTAAAGGTTGCTGGATGATACACCGGTGAAGGATCATAATGCTGGGGTAGCGTAAACTGCGGCGCCTGATCCATTTCCACGTTGGCATCTGCATCGGCGAATCCACGCTGGTGCATACTTAAGTACGTGTTGGGTGACACTGTCGACGACACGCGCCTAGGTGGTGTAACGTCAAGAGACTTTCTGCTAATCGCCCTTCGTCGACCGAGCCTTAACCCAAACACACTGGCCTTGTGGCCCTGTATACGCTACTTCTGCGATACATTCGCTTGTTGAGGCCCACAATT